CTTACCTTGAATCTGTTTGTAAGTGGAACTGGTGTCCAGATTCAGTGGCTGTTGAAACTGATCAGCTTCATCAGCGGCTGATGCCAGTTCCGACTTACATACAGATTCAACTTAAGAACAAACCTACAGTCCCTATCTTGTACGTAACCCGGGGACTGCCTGTTCTTTGTATGGAAATAGTTGGCATTTTAGGGTATGTTTACACTGTAGGTAAATGCCTTTGGCTGACCTATGCCAGCTGACTTGGATTCTTGGGGTTTGGGCTAAGGGACTATTTGACTGTGGTATAGATGTCTGAGGTTAGTTGGAGCCCAGGCTCTTGGACCCTGCAAGGGGGATTGTCCCAGAGGTCTGGCAGAAATTTGAGCCTGAAGGACTCTACTGCAATTAAAAATCCCTAAACCCCAGCTGGCTGGGTCAGCTGAGCTGAGAGTTTTTAATTGCAACATAGGCATGCCCCTAAAAACCCTGATTACATCATGAGGAAAGAGAAAGGAATGTTTTTTCTCATCCACCAGGAGGCTAATTTACTTATCCACTACCTCAGACCAGTAATGTGTTTGTAGCGATACTTGCCTTATTCAAGACAAATACACAAGTCCTTGGAATTTTTTCTCCATAAATTCCACTATATTCTGGATAAGAAAGGACTGGAAAAGTTTATGAATAACAAATAAATAAATATAAATAACAGCTTGCCTTTTTTTAAAAAAGGTAATTGAATACAACCGAGGAGCTTGAAAAAATTGTCTTTGTTGAACTTTTATAGTATATTTTATTGTGAAAACATTTTGTTGAGTAACTGCAAATGATGTATTGAATGGCTGAAAAATTGAAATAACTTTTAATTCATTAAGACAGAGGTTCTCAAACTTTGTGATACCCTGACCCTCCTCTAAGTTGCTCCTCCCCTCCCCCCAAGTTGCAACCCCACTCTAAGTTGCTCGTGACCCCCTGGGGGGTTGTGACCTACAGTTTGAGAAATGTGGCATTAAGATAATAAGCACATACCATGCCCTTTTTGGGGGAGGGGGGGGAAGCCCATTTTATGACTTCCTCTTCCATAATTTCACATTTGCTACCTATACTCAGAGGAAAAGATGTGGGGAAATCAAGGCTTTCAAGGTTATATTTACCTAGGTAAAACGGAGCAAACATTTGATACTGTGAACCATATCTATCATCACAAGATTAGATCCCAGTATTCATTGATCCTGTTTGTATAATGCCCCCATGTGGTGACTAAATGCATCACATCCATCCTAAGATTCTAGTTTATTTGGGCAGTTATTGGCAATGCAGTGCATAGCTACTGATCACAGATATGACTCTTTTTAACCACTGAGATGACTAAATGCCATTATTTTGATTCTTTCATATTGTATTATTAGTGAAGGGGAAAAAAGTGAAACTAAATAACTTCTAAATTCAATTTATGTCTTTAAAAAGGATTTTGAATATGAATTTCTGAAAACTGGAAAATAACATTCTCATCTGTTTTTTCTTTTCTCTTCAGCATCTGAGTAAGTGAGTTGTAGCTCTTGAAAGCTTATGCCCTAAAACTCTAATAAATGTGTTTAGTCTTCAAAGTGACACAGGATTCCTTAAAGTCTTAAATGTTACAATATGAGTCTCAAACTGAACTTTATAGAAAAGACAATGAAGCATCTTCATTAATTGCTTTAGGCACTGCTTTGAGAAGTGTTTTGGGGGGATGATAGCTGTTATCTTAAAATGGAAGGGATATGTAGGAATAGTAACTACTTTAGGGAAGAAATTGTGCCTGGAATTTGTAGATATATTTATTTAAACAAAAAAGCAGGGTAAATTGTGGGCCTGCTAACCTTGGTAGCATCTTAGAAGCCTTAAACTCTTTAAACATTTGTTTTTGGGGATAACTGTGTGAAATACAATGGTTTGTGTCCGAAGATGGTCTAATAATCTTTTTTGGCAATTAAACTCTGTGAATATATTGTACATGCTTTCCATAACATTCTGCTACTGTTGCTTGAACCTGAGGATCTTGCACTTATCTATGCTAATTTGCACTGATCTATATTTGTGGACCCTCCAAAAGTGAGAGAGTGCAAAAGTTGTATTTGTTGTGCCTGAGTTTTATAGTTGCAGGATGGCTCAGTCTCTCCCTCTAGTGGCCAAGACACTTCTTCAGTTTCAGCTTTGAACTGCAATGAATAACACAAACTCAACTACTAGTTATTTTTATCTTCAGGTTTTCTTTGACCTTTACTTAGATATATTGCTCAAATAAGGGGTGAATCTGAAGCAAAGCTATCTAATTTATGAGACCTCTTCTCTGTAGAGTAAGAGGAATAGTTTTATCTGTGTTTAGAGTTGAATTTCAGCTTTCCATGTAACTTAATCTTTAACAAAGTTGTTAGTTGTCTCACAGAGGTAGTTGCGTTAGTCTAAGTAAAAAAACAACAAAGAACAAATAGTTCTGCAGCACCTTAGAGACTAACAAAAATGTAGATGGCGTCATGAGTTTCGTGGTAACAGCCTGCTTCTTCAGATGAATGGAGTAGGGATGTTAAATTTAGATTAATTAAACTAATTAAATAGTCGATGGGATTTTCCCCTCCCACACACCTTTTTGGCCTCACCCCAGAACCTAAGGGGGACATTAAAATTAACTCGCTCGATTTGTCACCTCCCCTCGCAGGCTCTGGTGTCCAAGGGAAATGTGGGGAGTGTCTTTCTGCTTCTTAGTCTCGAGTCGGGGACCATGTCATTGAGATGGGTGTGTTTTTTTGGATGGTGGTGGTTTTGGTTTGTTTGTTTGTTTCTTACTGTTGTGCAGGCCCTGACTGATTTTTTTTTTTCCTCTGGGTCATTGACCCCGGACACAAAAAAGATTCCCCACCCCCGTATTAGTATTAAAAATAGTAACAAGAGCATTGCAACAATGTTCTGAGATCTACTATTTTAATTTAGAAATCCAGAGTAGAGTGTGACACTTTTTATTATATGTATGGTTCTCTAACCTCTATTTCATATCCTCTTTTTCTTAGCTTGGCTTCCTCTTCTGAATAAGGGTCAACTGTAAACAGCATACATGATCACAGGGGAGATACATGATCACCAAAGGTGGTTTTCCCAGGGCGAGGCTCATCCATTGCTCTGTGGGTGTACTGACTTCTGCAATTTCCCCAAATATGAGAAACTCAACTGTATAATTTGTGGTAGAGGGGAACTGCATTAGCACTTTCTCCTGGGGGAGCGGGAAACTGACCAGCAGCAGTTTAATATAGTGAGAATCTCTTAACTTGCCAAAAAAATTGGTTTCTGGTGATATGTATATATGTTGTATTATAGGGATTCCTCCAAGTTGCTTTATTTTTGGTGAGTTAATGTGTACATAACAAAACAAAATGTTTCTTTACAGTATTCTTGTACAGAGTACTCTGAACTCTCCTGTTTTCATATTCTCTTGATATCAGTATAAGGCTGTGATCCTATATCTTGCTGTAGAGCAGGGCTACTCAACTTTGGAAGCCCCAGAAGCCACAGTGATACTCACAGCACATGCCAAGGGCCACAACTTGAGTATGGTTGCATATACTTGCAAATACTTATGTAAATATATGCAAATAGCTTCTTTCACACTGACAGGCATGAACACAAAAATGAAGACAAGACTACATGTAGGTCCCATTTAAGTCAGTTCTTCTGATATTAATAAAAATGCAATATTTACCTGATTTCCATTCATGTGACAGCACTCTTAATGAGCAATGACAATCCAGGAATTTAACTTCTAAAACACATATCAACAGAAGACCATTATATTGACTACTTTTTTGTTTTGGCTTAACAACAGTACAGGAATATAACTAATACACATATCCAGGACTTGACACTAATACTAATACACATATCCAGGACTTGACAAACAGTGGTGAAATCTACTCGCCAGCCCAGTACTGCACATGCACAAGACCCATATGGTGCACGTGCGCGCCGCCAGTGAATGGGGTGACTGACTGAAATCTACTTGCTATGAGCAAATAGAAACAGCAATTTGTCAAGCCCTGCACATATCAACCCAAACTGCACCATAGATCCAAACTACACTGTGGGCTGTGTGTTGAGTAGCCCAGCTGTGTAATGACTTCTTACTTCTAGGACACAACTGTTAACATACGCAATCATATCATAAATACATCCAGTTACTGTGGTTTTCTTAGTACTAAAACTCCCAGCTGTGTTCTAATATAGCATCTTTTTTCCTCCTTTTCCTCTTGAATCTATCTTGTAGTTGGTAAATACAGGCCAAACAATTTATTGGAACAAATTAGATACTTTTAGGATTAAGAAAATTTCTACTAAGGGGATAAGTGAAAGTGTCTAATTTAAACAGATAAATAGTTTTACAACTGGACTGCATTATCAGTTTTCCCCACCCTGTTTTAAAGATTAACTCTTCCTTTACTTAAAGTATATTTCTTCAATTGTGTGTTTGACTCTGGTATACGTGGCTGTATCTAATAGCCTAAAACAAGTTTTATATATTATGGATACTAGATATTTGCTTACAATTTGCTTTCTTTTTTGCTGCTTCATTCTTAGCAAAAATTAGGATTTTTGGATTATAGATTTGCATGCAAGCCAGTGCTACTAGTCTCTATTGCCAAGAGACCTACCACAAGCACCCAGCTAGTAAAGTTAGTTTCACGCTTTAAAGTGCATTTGGGCTCTACTTTTTTAGACTTTGAATATAAAGTGAATGACAGTGAATCCTTGATCCTTTCTGTTTGCTTATGTGTAACGATGCCTGCTCACTTCGCAGGGTATAGTAAATCTTAAAGTTTGTAAAACAATTTGAGATCTTCCGAAAGATCTGCTACAACTGCAAAGTATTACAATTAACTCACTGTCACAAGGGTTTCAACTGTAATTTGTGTTCTCAAGCAGTGTCTTTAATTAGTAGTGGCAGAAGTAATTATTTGCCCCGCTTAAACAATCCAGGTTTGTGGACTAATTGGTTATCTGCACAACCCAGTTTTGAGAGATCTAGTGGATCTTGGAGTCTTATGTATTTCAGGTGAAACTATGGGGCAGTGCCCCTGTTTCTATGCTTATCAACCCCCCTCTCTGGGGGTAGGCAACCCTGGCTCCACCCTGGCTGCCAGGAAGGTGTGGTAGCCTTTGCCAACCCTGGTTCTTTCCCCACAGCTGCCAAGCTCTCCTGGGAGCCAGGCCAGCCCTGGACACACCCACCCCGCCGCTAAGGG